TTGCCAAATCAAAACCGCCTCTACCAATCGAGTATATCGAGAGGTGTGGGTTGGGTTTGTGTGTTTTTGGGTGATTGGTTGGTCTGTGTTATCGCCCATTTAGCCTCCAACACTAAATCTCTAATCATTAACCTCGCATACACAAAAAATTAGGCTACATATGTTCGTTACAATAATTAAAGCTAACTATATTCGGACTGATAGTCTTTTTGGTCTGTCCGTCCCATAAAAGACCAGACTGGCCCGGTTCTAAGGAGAACTGCAGGACCGGCGGTTTTAGTCGGACTGATTAGCAGCCCTAATTCCCATATGTTTTTCATATATATTTCTTAATTTAGACATTTCAACATTATTTAGACATTTCGACATTATTTAGACATTTCGGCATAATTTAGGATTTCGGTAATATTTAGACATTTCGGCAGCCTAAATATCAAATGTCGAAATATTTCTACAAGCATAAAACAATTTCGGCTAACAACATTACTAGCATCATTCGCTTTATTATCAATAACATCTAAAATTTCGTTAAAGTATAATACCATTGGAATTGTGTTTACCGATTTTGTAACTTGTATATTCAATTATTAATAAAGTATAATTTGAGTTGAATATTTATTTATTTATTATTATTATTTATATTACTTCGTAACTATATATATATTGAATTATATACTTAAAGGTTTAGCAAAAATATTAAATTTTATCATATTTAGTTGGCGGGACATTTTTCAAATTTAAAACTAATAACGTATAAAACTTTAATATTGTCCAATCGCAAAAATAGCAACTTTAAGTCATACAAGATTTTAAGTGATCCGGTTTTTAATTTTATTGAGGTGCTGTTATTGGGTTTGAATTTTTTTTAGGGAATATAATTATTAAATTGCAGACAGGTTTTCCTTGACTTGACAATCACATAAAACTGACTTGGCTGAATTGAGATCAATTAATTACTTTTTGTGGTTTTATATCTGCGTATTTTAATAGTATACTAGCAAGCGAATTATTCCTTCAAGGTTACGAATCTCTGAGAACGAGCATATTTGACGGGGACTTGGGTTTGGAATTTAGGACGAATTTTATTATATTTGGTATTGGGATTTGGGACAACTTTGGGCGGCGAACGAGTAAACAAGATATTCACGTGATCATATGATTTGTGTTTGCACAAATAAGTAAATTGAGAGAATTCTGGAGTTATTTGTCTTACCGACAAATGATTATCTTACCGCCAATGATTATATAAGCTTTCCCATACGATCTTTTTTTTTTAAATTCAGCGTGAAATTCCTCATGCAGCAATGATTTAATATTTCGGATTAAATACAAAGATATCTGCATATTAAATACTTTATATATATATACGATGGTGTTTCCAATTGTAGGCCGCCTAAACTATTCAGAATATCAAGCCTTAATTATCGGTTTGATATTCTTAATTTTAGAAAAATTGCTAAGAGTGGTTACATTTTTTTTACCAAGTGCTATCGTAAAATGTCTGCAAACTGAAAGTCAAAGGTAATCAATGATTAATCCAAAGAAAAATCATTAATTGGTAAATTTTGGGTAAATGATGTAAATTTTAGGTTGTTCGCACAAGCCTACAAATATGAAAGAACAGCATCTATAAAGTTACTTCAACGAATTGATAATTTTAAAGAATTAGTTAATTATTGGTAATTGATTTTCATCCTATACTATTATTCTTACTATTATTTTCTTACTATTATTCTCCTATTATTCTATTACTATTATTCTATTACTATTATTCTATTACTATTATTCTATTACTATCATTCATCATTCACACAATTTTAATTATATTTTAAAACAATCAGGGGTTATCCGGTTGAAGAACATATTGTTAGAACTCAAGACAATTATATTTTGGGAATTCAACGTATTCCTCACGGAAGAATCATTCCTGATGATGACGAACCTATTCATATACTTAACACATCTCTTAATGGTAACGATAATGAAACCCAGCAACAACACGAATCTATAGAATCTTTATTCAGAAGATGCGGTATTTCGTTAAATACGATTCGGCATACTAACAGAGATAATGATGAATTATTTCATAGTGATGATAGTCTAGATAAAAATTCTAATAGTGATGGACTATCACACATGATTAATACTCAAAAATCTACTGATAATTTGTCAAAACGACATGCTTCTTCGATTTATTCTTCTAAATCTATGAATAGTAGAGGAACAAACAGCGAACTAAACGAAAGACGTGAATGTATTAAACCTGTTGTATTATTTTATCATGGGTTAATGACCTGTAGCGAACTTTGGGTTTGTAATTATGAATATGAAAATAGATTATGCTGTTTACTGGCTGACGCTGGGTAAGTCAATAAAACTCTTTTATTACAATTATATATATAATTAATAATAGAATTAATTTCTTATACTATAATTATAAGTTATGATGTATGGTTTGGTAACTCTCGAGGAAACAAATATTCGATGAAACACATAAAATGTGATCCAAACGGACGTAAATTCTGGGATTATTCAATGGATGAATTGGCTCTTTATGATTTGCCAGACACTATTAATGTATGTTTGTCAAATGTTCACGCATATATCTTTGATTTATAATATGGTTGAAGTTCTTTACTACATATCGTAAAAGAAATGATTCTAAAATTTGATATTTATATAGTATATATTAGAAACAACAGGTGCTCCATCTTTGTCATATATTGGATTTTCTCAAGGAACCGCACAATGTTTTGCAGCATTATCGATAAATCCAAAGATCAACAATAAGATTAATTTATTTATTGCTCTGTCTCCAGCAACCAGCCCTAAAGGTGTGTCTAAAATTTATACGTGACAACTACTGTATAAGCGCGAAATAATGCGCAGGGGCGTTATTTCGAATTTTGACCTAAATTAAGCTTAATTCGGGCCACTATTCAAAATAACGCCCCTGCGCGTTATTTCGCGCTTATACGGTATGTTTAAAGTTATATGTGCCAGATGATTACTAACAAAAGTAATTTAAATTATAATTTCTTTAATACTCATCACCCCATAAATCTATTTCATATCAAAAATACTATTCTTTCTAAATCGAATAGGTCTTAGTAATTCTATAGTAAATGCATTTATAAAAACATCACCAAATATAATCTATTTATTCTTTGGTCGTAAAGCAATGTTAACAATGGTATTATTTTGGAAACAAATATTACCACCTACTATCTTTACTAAAATAGTAGACTCTGCATTAAAATTTTTATTTGGATGGAATTGTGAAAATATTAATGAAACTCAAAAGGCTATTGGATATTATCATTTATTTAGTTGTAGCAGTGTCAAAAGTGTTGTGGTATGTAAATATACACACATATATATAATATGTATGATTTTAATTAAAAATTATATTAAAAGTATACTAATCTTTATGTATATATTATATTTACAATATTTAAAGCACTGGTTCCAAATTATTAAAGCTCATAATTTTCAAATGTATGACGAATTACCCACATATTCATATACGACAACAGCATTTGGTAAAGCTTGTCAGAGGTTTCCAACGCAGCAAATTACTACACCAATAGCAATATTTTATGGAGGCCGTGATAGTTTGGCAGATATGACTATGTTGCTAGAACAAATTCCTAAACCTGTACTTGTTAGAGAAATCTCAGAATACGAACATTTAGGTAAGGTCTATTAAAAACGATTTTAAAAGAATGATAATCATAGCTGAAACTAACCGAAAAAAAACTTTTTAAAGACTTTATATGGGCATCGGATATAAATCATAAAGCATTTCCAGTAATATTTCATTTATTACGTAAATACAACGTTATTGATGATCGTGATTTTGGATATTCTTCTGATGAACCATCTGATATCGAGCAAAATTATAACATATTTGATTATGATGATTTTGATAACGATAATCAGTCCAAGGGTAACACTCACCAACAACCGGAAGAAGTCATTCAACGTAGTACGAAGGTTGGTGAACACTATGATAATGAATCATTAGATAGAGAATCACAATATGGTCAAGAAGTTACTACTCAAAATCAATACCAAGAAATTAGTGACAGTAAAAGCTACGATAGCAATGAAATTGAACAAGGAAGTTCTGATGAATCAGATCAGCTTACACGTGAAATAATTTATCAAGATGACTATTATGATGATGATACTGAGTATGCTAAGATTTAGTGATAAAAGTTGTGACCTTGAGTAATTTAAAGTGATTTATAAAATGAATTTTGCATTTTTTTTTTTTATTTTTTTTTTTGATAATATTATTTGAATTATGAATTGTATTATATCTTTATTTTTTCTATTAAGTATATGAAACTTTATTGAGAAATATGACGCGTTTAAGTGCTGAAGTGTTTACATTTAGTAATAAACTATAAAATATCCGGTGAATATTTAATTCGTTAGTATATGTAACTTTAGATATATATGTTATCATATGTACGTTAGTAATAGGTAATATCCATTTGTGACTTATCGCACAAGTTGTAAGGTTTGAAGAAATTAATTACCTATTTTCGCGAAATAACGTCCACCTGCGCGATATTTTATGTGCGTGTTTTTTTTTTTTTAGTACGCGCATAGGCGTTATTTTGAGACAAAGTTTTCCTAACCCGTCTGCTGCTATTGAATTTTTTGTTGAAATCCTAATGTGGAGGCGCGTGTCATTTCGGACGCGCATGGGCTTTTGAAACAATGCAAAAATACGGTAATTACATTTGACTTAAGGATAAATAAACGCAAACACTACTTTATGTAAGTTTCATACTAACAAGTTTATTTTGTAAAAATATGATATTAAATAAAAAAAATAGATAATATAATGGAGAAAAATATTAGTAACCCTGTTAATAACCGGTGAATATGTTGATACACAGTGTAATTGAGCATTTATAATATGTTAGCTGCATCTTTATAATCTTTATAGTATTATCTATATAATTGATCTATAGTATAGGTGGGCATATAAATTATTAGAATTATAATATATAAAAATAGCTATTTTGATCTAAATTAAATAGCTAGGGTAAAGCCTCTAATTCGCTTCAACAAAGTTCGCAGTTCGTTTTATCATTAGATTCTTGATTACTAAATAAACAAACATACAATAAATTAATAAATTATTTCTTATAAATAAATTAAAATCAGAATGGAAGAAAACTCTATGGCAGGGTTAGAGTAGAGATTCAAAACGGCTCTGCAGAACCATAAACCGATCGGCTTAGCTGAGCTATTTAACGGCTAACTAACGGCTCAGCTTGTGTTACGTGGAGCCGGTTTAGAGCCGTGAGCCGATTAATGACTATAATATGTCGTAACCACTATAATAACTGTTATAACTGATAATAAACTTTTGTATCAATATATAATATATAATAGTGTAGATAAACACTATAACGATAAACACTATGAGACAAACACTATGAGACAAACATTATGAGACAAAAATACAATATGATTGGCTACTGCTATAACACATGTTTCTTATTATTGTTGCACAAATTTGAACATAATACGTATCGATGTTAAAACCCGTGGATACTTTACTGTATGAAGAACCGGGTGCATATTTGGGATATATCATATTAAAAGTAGTAAATCAATATTGGTATACCACGGGTCTTATTCAAGAAATAGGATAGAATAATACCAGGGTTTTAATCAGAGACATTAAAATTAGTATTTACTATATATATTTTATAATAATTTTTTTGTTTTAAATTAACTAAATATTTTATATTTGAATCCGGAGCAACGCGACGGGTTAGATGCTAGTTGATAATAATAAACCTTAACAATATGTCGTAATATTTTGTAAACTATTATAAATTTTTTTTAGTACCTACTATAATCGCCCAAATGGATCCTAACGATCTTTCTTATATTAATTCCCCAAATTCACAAGACACTTTGCAAGAAACTTTGAGGATGAGCTCATCCAATATTTGAACGATGCTATTTTACCAATGGATGTTAATCCACTGGAGTGGTGGAAACTTAACAGCTTTCTCTTTCCCGGTATGTCCCGAATGGCCAAGGATTTTCTCGAAATTCAGGCAACTTCGGTGAAATATTTTCAAAGGCAGGGAGCATAGTTCAGGCCAAACGTGCACGCCTTTCTGAAAAAAGCGTACAAGCTCTTGGTTGGAACACGGCATTAAGTTTCGAAACTGATACTTTTTAAAAGATTCGATTTTCATTTTAAAAGATTCAATTTTCATTTTATTTTTTTTTAAAAGATTCGATTTCATTTTATTTTTTTGAAATTTTTTTTTAAAAAATGTTCTTTAAAAAATTTTCTTTTTCCTTTCAAAAAAAAATGTTTTTTAAAAAAAAATGTTTTATATAATATGTTACTTTTTTTGCGCATTTTAAATTATTAATTACTGAAATATCTGTACATGTATTAACGCTGAATTCGATTTAAAATAAAGAGTTTAAATTAGCTCAGAATAGGTCTACCGACAATTACCCAACAACCACTTCTCCAACTATTTTCCCGACAATTATTTCCCCGGCATAACCATTTTAATTTACACGATATTTGGTTTTTGCCGTAACCGTAACTTGCTATGTGCCGTACAGTTCACTGAAATAGTTCCACCTGTAACTCTAGTTATCACGAGCATAAATACAAAACTCGCGCTTTTGGGCATCATTGGGAGATATTTTTTGTTTAGAAGACATAATATTTTATAATTAATCGTCAACGACCAATCAAACAGGCAAAGTTATGCAATTTATTTTAACTAATGATTTTGAGTTGAAGATATGTTCCTTTTAGAATCTACTTATTTATTATCAGTTACAGATTTTTTAAAAACATAGGCATTGTTTTGGGAAATTGAACCTAGTGCTACAAATCGAAAATCGCAACTAATCGAAAAGTTGACAACTAATCGATTGAAAAATTTTTGGCAACTCCTATTAAAATCGAATAAAAATCGAATAATCGAAAAGTTGACAACTAATCGATTGCAAAATTTTTGACGATTTGTAGCACTAATTGAACCCCTTGTTAAGGACTAGAAAACTTATCGAATTTGAAATTGGGCTTGATAGAAAATAATCCAATCTCTAAAATCGCACGCAATTAGGCGTTATTTAATGAAGATAAGCATTTCATTGTGACAAGATTTGAAACAGGTATGCTTTTTTTTGAATAGGTTTGTGTTAAATTGAAATGCTTTATAATAGACACAGACGTTATTGCATGTCTAAATTAAACTTAATTCAAGTCATAACTTGAAATAATAACGGCTATGTCATGATTCTAAGGATTTACGGTAATGACATAATTAAACTGAAAGGGTAATTCATGTTTACGATTATTTTTTCATTATCAGAAAGTTTTTAATAATTAAAGTTGCATTCACATGTTTTTTCTATTGAAGAATTTTATGCATTACGTGATAATACAATTCTTTAATTGTACTAATTATTGGCAATATCAGGGCTAAACTTGTTTTCATCAGCATTGTGATTTTCTTGAATAAAATAAGCGATTGACATAACGATAAATTTAGAATTGATTAACCAAAAAAAAAAGTTTGCCTGCCGTATCTATGCTACAAAGTCACGTGAACACATTTAAAGAGATAACTTATATATTGGGGCCAAACACATACTTGCCGTGCAGAGTATAGAGGGTGCATTTAGGGTCTAAGTCCCAAGCTTGGGATCGTGCTAGAAGGTGCATATAAAGAGAGAGTGCACTTATAGAGGTGCATTTGGAGAGGTCTCTCTGTACACCGATCAGATGATTACGATAGTTCGTAAAAAACGTTAGAACAGCAAAGTTCATGAATTTACTAAATTTAGTTAGAATTAATAGATTAATAATATACTAGTTCATAAAAAAGAAAAGGTAATATTACGTGTATAGTGAGTAGAGGTGATCGGGGTTTATCGAATACAATGTGAATATTTTGTAAAAAAATCTTATTTATTATATCTCAAGACATTACGTTAGTAAATTTTATATGGTTTTACCACAAAATCCCGAAAACCATTTTCCCGAAAGAAAATAATACCGACTAAATTGACCAGCATTATAACTAATGCCGGCTAACTTT